GTTTCGAATAGTCTTTTTTCCCCAATCAGAGGCTCTGAAAACAGCGTGCCGCCCACTGCGCTGCGTCAGAGGGGGAGGTAGCACTGGGAAGGAGGAAGGGCGGAGCTCAGTATTGCACAATGTCTGTAAAGCAGCAATTGCATCTGTGTTCATAATTTAGTGTTTAAAATTAAACAACGTAAATAATTTTCTTTGACTTCTCAGTCTCTTAATTATCATTAAGCACAGGTTTCTTTTTTGATACCATCGTTAGACAAAGCAGGAACTTATTGTTCTTTCTAATGACATTACATGTGGAAACATTACAGATTACAGATTTTAATCATCTTTAATTTTGTTATACATTTTAGAAAAGTTTCATCTATGCATGCACCACAAAACTATTCTCGATTGTATTTCTGAATGCTATGTATAAAAAAAAACTTGCAGCTTACTCAACGATTCTAAGATCATCACGAGGAAGTGTACTGCATGTCTAATGGTCTAAGCATAACAGCCCATCCTCCAATTACCCAGACTGTAAGCATGGGAATAAAGCTTTGTTTGATTTCTGAAACCCTTGTCCTGTTTTCATTCAGGTAAGGGTCAACTATATACACAATAGTGCTGACAGCAGGAAAATTCCTATAATTTACTCAGCAGCGTCTTAAAAACAGCACTCATGGTGTTCAAACTGATTTTTTTTACACAGAAGACTGACACAGCTTTGCGTTGTGAATCTGTTTTTCTTAGAAAACGTGTCCGTGGAGGGAGATGGAGTGTGTGTCTTTCATTGGAAGACTTGCCCTGTTCTACTTTGAAAATACCTGTGAAACCGGTTTGTTTACAAACAATGTAAACACAGAGACTCAGACAGTGGAGTGAAAATCGGCACAGGGGGCACTCCCGGGGGGGAGGGAGAGAGATTTGAAAACCGTGCAGCCCCAGGCGAATGCACAATATTAATGTAGGGCTTTCTAGCTCACGTGGATTTGCGCCCTATACCCTGCGGTACTGCTGTTTACATACAGTACGAACATGTTGCGATATTTAGAAATACAAAAAAGTCAATAGAGTGTCCATAATATTGCTATTTTGCTATTGCTATTTTAGTTTTTCAAAGAAATGTTTGTTAAAAGAAAACTCGTGGCGAGATTTGAACACCCGACCTCTTGCTTATAATTCAGTCACTTAAACCATCACGCCACTGACGCAGTCACTTGACAACCAGTGGAACAGCCATACACATATACTACTGTTTGTGTTACAGTGCACGAATATAATTATATCATTATTAATTTGTTTAGACACACGATTCCATATTAAATTCCCTATTAATCAAGTTCTGAAAGTATGCTTTGTTTACTCCGATGACCAGCATATTCGCAGAAAAGATAAAAACGATCAATTTTCACAAAATATATAAACGTACAGTAATATGGTCAGAAGGAGCACGTAAAAACGTTTCAAAATAACCACACTTTGATGATTAAAATGTTTAGGGAGAAATGGCATAGTGGTGTGTATTTTTTTATTTAAACTACCAATACTAGCAATATACAGTTTACATAATATGTTTATGTTCCTAAATTAATATCATTTATGAGCATGTGAAAGGCATGGTGAATCGGAGATTCTCAAAACTTACTTTGTATGATTGGAAACGAATACGTGATCAACGAAAAGCTGTGGTGTTACTTTTTGTCAATGAAAAAATAGTCTTTTCATTTACAAAGACGGTTACAAAGAATGTGGACCAGGATAATACTTTGAGTTTACAGCTTGTCCAAGGTCATACATTATTAATATTATTAGTAATATCTTCGGTAAAGACTTTGATGCATAAAATATTTCTGCATAATTAAAATATTTATGATAAAGGTAGGCTGTGTACTTTTGCCCAACTGAGCAATCTTGCTTTCATAAAATATACCAACTTTTTCATGTATGATGCTGTGACACACAGTTTAAATTTAAAAGCACAAATGCTGTACGTGAGAGGTTAAGCTTTATCAGCTCCTCCTGGCGGTTTTACAAGGTGATTCCGGATACTATTAACATCATTTAATTTACATATGGTAATTTGCGGTATGACGCGAAATTACGCGTTATACCGCGTTTTTGATGTGACACGCCCACTGCGTTATACCGCAGCGTACCTTGCTTGTTTTGAATGGCTGCATCTGTACTCCTCCCTCTTAACCAGAATACCAAAGCCCCAGTATGGTGTAACTGTGAGCACTGTGCTGCAGGAGGAGCTGACATTTGGATCAGCCATTAAACCAAGGTCCTGACTAATTGATCATTAATGATCCAAGGGTACTGTTAGTAAGAAAAGGGGTTTTACCCCAGTACCTGGTGGGCCAGATTGCGCAAGTCCAGAGTGAAATACTTTATAGTCAGGACGTCAGCTTAATGTCTCATTTGAAGGATGACACCTCCCTGTACAGCATGGGTGTCCCCTGACACCACACTGGGGCATTTGTTTGGAAATTCCAGGCCAAAGGGAAGCATGCCACCTACTGGTCCACCAAAAAGAAAATACCCACCGCACTGCAAACCAACTTTTTTTTGTTTTGATCTTGCTAGTAGGAAATGAAAACCTGGTTCAGATACCAGAAGTCAAACTAAATGCACAGCAGTTACTGCACTTGTAAGGTGCTTTTAAGCTGACATTTATGATTAAGATCAAATAAACTGGTAGGATTTAATGCAGCTCAAACTGGCGAACCTGTTCAAAAGACAGCTCCTGATATAGTATGTCAGACAGAATAGGTACACCTCACTTTTACATAAAACTACTGACTTTTTGTGCAAAAGTGATAGTTGCAAAGGTTTCAATGTGTACTTACCAGGCATAACAATTATTCTTCCTTTAGCCTGTTAAGAAAAGAAAAAAAGGTTTTAGTTAAATGTGTCAGTGTCACTAGGAAAAATGTACTCCCCTTGAGAGAGGGAAGAGAGACACTTAAAAACAATACGTGAGCAGGAGGCTGCCTCTGCCAACAAGCCATCCTGCCAAACAACATAACTGCGGGCAGCAAAGGGCTCCCAACCTCTCCAGTACAGCTCAATTAAAACACCGGGGAGAAAAAACTGCAACAGAAGCAGCATTATGGTCAGAGAAAAATATCATGGAAATTGAATTACAAGCAGACAAAGAGCAGGAGAAAGTGGACATCTTGCTTTAAACATCTGATGACTAAAATGTCCTCTGTCCTTTTTTGTGTGTCAGTGTGACTTAGGAACAATCTTAAATTGTGTTTCAAAATTCCCTTATATATTAATGTTTTGTTTATTCAACATCACATACTGTATCTAGTGCAGTTATTTAGAGTTGGCACTAATATACATACAGTAACTACTTTATTGGATATAATAACCACCATAAAACAACTGCTCGAATATGAGTGAACAATCATCTATGGGACGATATGGGAAAGTAGTAAAAAAAGCACTAGTTCTCAAGTTTCATTACTTGACTATACTTGACAATACTCCTTATACTAGGCAGAAAAGATACGCTCTCTTAACTTAATGTGTTCAAGATCAGCTGATGTAGCAGAATTTGAAATAATTATTGAAACAAAGGAAAAAATTGATTTATAATACAACATAAACAAGACAATAATATACAGTATCTTGAGTAAATATAAAAAAAAATGTAATGCTGCTGTAGCACAACATGACTGCCTGAGACTTCTTCGTCAACAGCTGGGAACCACCCTTAATTGACGTTAACAAAATTAGTCCCAGCATGAGCTTCTAGACTCCCGTCCTCAGCTCATTTTCTTTCAGTTAATTACTTCAGGATCCAATGTAATAACGATCTTCCGAAAACATGTTTTGTCTCCAAATCGGGGATGGTTGTTGTATGGCAAAAGGTTCTGTATCTTATGAAAACCTCAAGGCAACTTTCAAACTCTTTTGCATACTGTCCTCTTTCACAGGACCCAAGCACTGACTACCAACGGCAGGCGATATCTACCTTCTAATTGAGAATGAGAAGAATAACCTCCTTACCTTACCCCCCTAGTTGCTGATCTCTTTTTAATCTCTCCATTAATTTACAGATTGCTGCCTGCCAATACTGCTCCCTGACTCCCACACATCCACCCTTTTTAACTTATTCCTGGCCAGTTTTACCTTTGTTTTCCCCATCCCACCTGTTTCCCTTATTTTTTTGTTCTCTTTCCCTCTTTCCTCCACACACCTGAAGTGGTTCCATAGCCAAAATGTTGTGTGCTTTACTCTTTCATTTTACATTTCAAAAGTGCCTCAACCTCTGCATGTGTCTTTGCAGCTAACACATTTACACAGCTCCTCACTCTCATTTCTTCATGAAAATAAAGCAAAAGGCTCACCAATCATGTCAGTGATTTTTGCATATTTCTTATTGTTATTAGTATCATGATGTCCTGTTTCCAAAATTACTTCCAATATAGTCATTTCCAGCAGTAATATGTTCAAAGATCCTATTCCTACCCTCCACAAAAAAATAAAACCCATTACTTGATTACATCACAGGTTCTGGCACTAGTTGCGATCATTTAAATCAGTGTTTCCCAAAGTGGGGTACACAAAAGGTTTTCAGGGGGTACGTGGCAGAATTTTTTATTTTACTTTATCATAGTTTTTTAGCATTATTTAGAGTTCTTTTATTAACTATTATTCCTAATGTAGTATACAGTACATGTACAGTATAAGCTTCATAATATATTAAGTATTAAGAAATAAATACCATATTTGCTCTAGTCTAGATAAAATAGTATGATTATCATTACCCTCAAATTTTTTTTTGCCGGAATTGGGTTCTTTTAGGCTTAAATTTTCAAAGGGGTTCGGCATTTTTTGAGGTTTTGGGGGACACTGATTTAAATCAATGCCAGTGCAAAATTTCCTGAATGGTAAACATTGAAGGGTGCTGAGAACCAGGTGTCTCTCAATAATAATGTTGTTCAACCATAGTAACTAGGCAAGACATACTTGCATAACCATAAATTATTAAAAACTAATGATTTATAAACATGCACCACACAACATACAAAAATCGTAAAATGACATTTCAGTTCTTTTCAATATGGCATCTGCAAGACCTTTGAGGTGTTGATTGGTGGTGCAGGAAGGCTAAACGTACAGTTTCTCACCTGTTCCACCAGTCGCTTGATCAGAGGCAGACCTTCCAGGGCCGAGCTGTCACTTCCACTTGTCAGCACCCTCTCGAATCCCAGTGAGATCAGTGTTTCCATGGCAAGCATAGGGTCGTGCACCATGTCAAAGGCTGAGGGGAGCAGTGCACAGTGAGAACAGAGCATTAGGCCAGTTTCACTCTCAGGATCCCCTGTCTGCCATGAGACAGGCAATGACTGTGCACCTGTAGAGAACTGGGAGAGGGTGGCGTCCTGTAAATATTTGTCTCTTGAGACAAGCTTAAACTGACTGAAACTTTTTAAGCTTGCTGGCTGTGTTATTGGGCAACTGGCTAACTCAGAGCCCTAAAAATATATATATATACATGAGATGTACTCTAATCTTAAGAGTGTGGCTATGCTTTTTTTTTAAACTTACATCTCACTTTCCTTAATTCCTTTTTCCCCACACCAATTTTGCAAAATACAGAAAAAGTGTCTATCAACTAGTGTCTGTCAAGCAGCATCATTTGAGAAAGACATTAGTAAATGGCATCACCAGTGCTCTGATCTGGTCTGGCGAGTACTAATGATAATAACTAATGATTACAGTAATTCTGGAATCCCGGCAACATACAGTAGGGTGCAAAGGGGGAAAAAAGCGCATGAATGATCTTGTCTGGACAGGATGCCAGCCCATCTATGGGCCCCTGAGAAATGGACAATGTACTGTAGAACAGTCAATCGAACCTAGCCAGAGTGATGTGTACATGCAAACTGTATTCAAACCACAGGACACAATATTTAACAGTGCAAATATATAAAATTTGAAGATCAACAGGGAACAATCACCTAAAAGTATATACTTAAATTTAGGACACCAGTAATGAGCCCTTGACTTTTTCCAATATACATGAAGAATTACAAAACATGCTGAATGGGACTGAGGAAAACTTTTTTTGTATTTAAATTGAAAATGTCCAACATTTTTCCTTGCTCCCAAATATTGTGAGTTCATGCGGAACCCTTCAGTCCTTTCAATGTCCCCTCAAATTCCAATACTCCTCTAACAGTAAAAAATATTGCATCGTGAAGCTGACCTCCCTACACACAACACAAATGTTTTATTTGTGCCACTGAAAGTCTTGTCTGTGCATTCTTCCTTCCTGGGATACAGCACATTCTTTTTTGGCCTAAAATAAATAGAGGCAATTTACCTCTGTGGAAAGTGACTGGCAGGGGCCGGCACGCAGCTGTAAAGACAGAAAGAGAAGCAAAACGAAACAGTTTGAATTTGAGAGAGTAACTGGTAATTGTAACTTTAACTGCTGCAACTGGCTGTAAGCAGGCAAGATGCATGTTCATAAGATGTGCTACCTCATGGAGTTACTCTGTTGTGCTGTATAAATGGAAAGACACAAATAACAGTACTTTTGAATTTGCAGCAAATTACTTGCCATTATCAGCAAGACACACACAATTAAATGGGCACATCAAAAGTTGTTTTTTCCCCCCAATTCCATCTCCTTCACCCTCAGTAGAATTCTATTCATAAAATTATTGTCATCCCAACGGAACCAAAAGCACTTTATGGATAGCAGTCACCACCTCATCCACCAAAGTAATGCATCTCCTACCCGGGTGATACACAGCAGCCATTCTGCACTAGCTACCGTACTGGGAAATCAGAAATAAAACTAAGAAACTAAAAACAAAAAAAAAAAACCTAAGAAACTCATCAATTATGATTTAACATGGTCCCAGCATGTAATTGGAGCTACAAAGAAGGCACAACTGCACCTTTACTTCCTCAGACAGTTGAAAAGATTGTTCTATCTTCAACTGTCCTTACCACCTTTTACAGGTGCGCTATTGAATGTGCTCAACATGGTATCAGAGTGTGGTTTGGCAGCAGCCCGTTATCTGACTGGAAGGCGTTACAGTAGGTAATCAGGTCAGCCCAGTCCATCAATGGAGTACAGCTCCAATGGATATTTTTACAACTCACTGTCTCAGGAAGGCTGGAAGTATCGCTAAGGATACCCAGTCATCCTGGTTTCTCATTTTTGTCCCTCCTTCCCTCTGGGAAGCGTTATAGTAGCATAAAGGCATGAACTTCCAGATTCAGAGACAGTTTCTGCTCACAAACTGACAGATTACTAAACTCTACCCCTACCACTGACTCACACTGATGTTATTTTTTTAAGTTGGTATTTAACTTGTTACTGCTGCTGCTGTTCTGTGTTTATGTTTTTTAGTGTTTCCTGAATGTCTCTGTATTGGAGCATAAATGCATATAAGCATTTCATTGCGCTTGTGCATATGACAATAACTGAATTGAGCTAAACTGAAGAAACTGCCTCATCGGCTGAACTAAGGGGGAACTTTAACCCAGACCGCACAACCACAGTGGGACTCGGCAACTGCAGCAGCACGACAGCAGCCGTACCAAGCAGCTCCACACACAGCTCTGTGTCCACCCGGCCGTCCTCGGTCAGCGCCCCCAGCACCAGCCCGTCTGCACCATGGTTCTTGCACAAGTGAATGTCCGTCTTCATGACCTCCACCTCACGGTCCGAGTACAGGAAGTCCCCTCCGCGTGGCCGGATCATTACAAACACCGGGATCCGGACATACTGCTTCACCACCTGCAGCAGGCCTGTGAAGGGCAAAGAAAAATGCCTGAATCCGGAAAACCGCAGGATTGACAAACATGTTCCAGAGAGCAGAGATCACACTGCCAATAGACAGTGAGAAAACAAAATGCAAGGGTGATTAGCTTAAAAAAAACGAATGAAGGGGTCATCTACCCAGATCCTAAAGAGTCTTATCAAAATGTTGCAGGGTATATCAATATTGTGGGTGGCATGGTGGAGCAGTGGTTAGCATTGTTGTCTTGCAGCACTGGGGCCTTGGGTTCAATTGTGGACCTGGGATGCTATTTGTGTGAAGTTTGTACTGTATGTTCTCCATGGTTTCCTCCCACAGCCCAAAGACACACTTGTAGGTGAACTGACTTCTGAGAAAACTTGCCCTGGTGTGTTTGTGTCTGTGTGTTTGTCCTGTGTTGGACTGGCTTCCTGACCAAGGTTGTACCTTGCCTTGCCCCCTTGCTTGCCACGACAAGTTCCGGTTCCCTAGCAACCCCAACTTGGAAGAAGCAGATAGAAAATGGATGTTTGGGTACTTACAATTGTATTTTCACAATTTATTGTGGTTTTTCCTTACAGCAGTTCTCCATAGTTCTAGCATGTATTCACTGTGCTGTGCCACAGTGGACCACTAATATTTTATGTTGTATTACAGATAATACTTCTTTATTAATACTTGATACTATCATTATGGTATGCTGTGGTACTCCCAAAGTCTGGACAAGCACAAATGTCATTAAAACTACAGAAAAACAAAAGTAAGGCAAAATCATGTTAAAAGTGCAGAAATATAATTCTTATTAACCGTGGTAAGGCACATTCCTGCTGTCTGACCATGGAACTAGAAAACATAAAGTAACTGATGAATCAAATAACGTCATTTACAGGACCATGAGGGTGAAAACCAAGAGAGTCTGTGACTCAACAGAGCCCTGCAGTGAGGTGCAGAAGTGCATACTGAAGACTGAATATGAAAGGCTGTAGAAACCAGAAAAGGATACCCTGCTACATTGTTTAAGATGGCTCCTTGGAAGTTGGGATGAGATAATTGGATCAATGGCCTACTAGGATTCAAACATACAAGAGAAACTATAGTGTGTAGGCAGGCATAACCCACAAAGCACCACTGAAGAGAAGATGTGTGTTGCAGTGGACTTACCGATACTGGGTGTGATGCCTCCCTCCAGCAGACTAGAACACAGCTCAATTCGGCCGGCACCTGCGGACATAAAGCACCACATTGCTAAAGCAACCACAACCACCCTCAGCTTACAGCTGTTGTTTCCCCAAGAGGTAAACAACGCCAAAGTGCTTCCCAGCAGTTCCACGAGACTGTGTAATTATTTCTTTATATATATCTCAAGCATGTTTTCCTTTCTTAAAGAAAGAAAAAACAAGTTCAAAGAAAGAACAAACAAATAAGGCCCAAACAACAGCAGTCAAGGCAGTCTATAATATTATTTAATCTTAATAGGCTCTTATATAACAACACAGACAGGGGCAGAAAAGCACCCTCACCGATATAATATAGTGGCAGACAGATCTTATTCTAATACTGCCCACATGGTAGTTAAGGGAGTATGGGCTGTTAATATCAAAACATTACATTATTTTATTACATTATTTAATTATTTATTCCAGATATTTATTTTGGAAAGAGTTATACAATTATATCCGAGTGCAAAATAAAAATCACTGACCCTAGCAAATGCCCATGGATATTGTTCTTCTTAGATTCCCTATCTACTTCACCACTTAATTTCAGGCAATTTCCAAAATTGGGATTTCATTAAATTTATTAGTATGGCCAAAATGTTGTTAAAAAGTTGCTTTTACAGCAAACATTTTAAAAGCTACAATTAGAGGAAAGGCTTTGCTAACAGCAACCATGCCTTAATGGAACATTTTAATCTAACAAACCATTTTAAGAAAGGTCAAGTGCTACGAGCAACATTCCACGCAACGTTACAGTTTTTGCAAATAACTTCCATTTGAAGTTAGGTTTAAAAAATTCATCTGCAGAAAAAGGGAGCAAAATGTGCAGAGGTTTCACTGTACCTCCCCTCTCAGCATTGATGGCAGACTCTACTGAGTCCACACACACCTCCATCAGAAAGTTCTCTGCCATCCTGCAGAGAGAGAAAACCACAGGCCATCTTAATTGCTAAAAACATGGCAATCATAAAGCATGGCTCAAACCAAATCATTTATTCACTTTTGATCCTTGTATTTAAAAGAGTTTCAGGCATTCCATTTTGAAAATCATTGATATAACCACATTAGGTTTGTTTTTTTTAAACAGCCTTTTCAGCAATTGCAAAATTATACCCTTAAAACTGGAGATTTATTCCAACAAGGACGTTACACGCCCAGGGTCTAAGTCTGAATGACATTCACTGTCAGAAACGGTTTTAAAGCTTAACCTAGTTTTAATGTCACCAAGAGGTAGAGTAGATGGTCAGATCCAAGTCTCTTATCTTAGACCTCTGGTTTAAGGGGCTGATTGATCCTCTTATGAGTTTCTGAGCTTCGATACTTTTTTCAGTTGTAACAATTGCTCCTTGTTGTGCAGATGACAAACAGGGCGATTGTAGTGTTTAGCTATCGAATAATACCATGCAGGAAATTCTTTTCGGACAATTTCTTTTTTTTTAAATCACAGCCGTAAAACGGCTTTTATGGCTGCCGAAGGGGCTGTGTTCCCGTTTAGTGGTTTAGTTACACGAGCACACTAAAAATAAACTGAGGTTTTGGGACTACTGCTCTTCGACAATACGAACAGATACATCATCGTGAGCAATGACCCCAGTCTGCTCTTTAATATGCAGCTCCATCAACTACAGTATACTTTCTGCTAAGCGCAGGCGAAGTGGATGCAGTATTTGTCGTTTGATATACAGTACGGAATAAGACTCTTTCTATCCCAGACCACCATCTACCAGGCTTGCAGCACTTAACTTTCTACTGCTGTGGGCAGTAAAAGGGCTTTGCCGTGAAAATAAACACACTAAAAAAGCTGCAGTGCATTTGCAATACTGTTGGCTGACTCCGGCTTTTCATTTTATAATGAATTTTGGCATACGTATCCCGAACCTTTCCTGAATGGTTACCTGTCAACTTTTTTAGGACTCCTGCACACACCAAACCCTTGACCCTCTCATCGCAGCCCGGTGATTCGCTCCTCCTGACCGCGGTAGCCAATGACAGCGAGGGGGCTGCGGTGAAGCCTCTGAGGAGGTCGACATGTTGGTCACCTGATAAGGACTTCGAGGAAAATACAGCAATTAAATCTGACCGCAATCCTCTGATTGAGAGTGTAATTCAGCTCGAAAAGAATAGATTTCTTCTTGGAGCTTGGCGGTATATTAATGTATGTTAATATTATAGAATCTATCGGATATCCTAAAATTACTTCAATAACAATTTTGATGAAATTACAAAGGGTTTCTGCTACTATAATCACTATGGTAATAATTTTTAAATGCACAAATAGTTATAATATCTTGAGCTACCAATTGCCGCGGACCCTTGTCACGTGAAGAGTAGATCGTCGCTGCAGTGAAGGCTTCAGACATGAAACTGACCCGGAATATTTAAACATATTTAGGTTACTTTTTGCCGAATGTTATTAGTGAAACGTTTTACATAACATAATTTGATATTAATTGTTATGAGAAAAAATAAAACAATCTATATTTCCTGATGTCATTGTTTCAAGAAGTCAAAGGTAAAAGGTCGCCTACATTGAGTAACTGTTCTTGCACTATGGTGGCATGTTCTGTAAGGGTTGTTAGTATTTGTTGCATTTAATGTCAAAGCTTAGGGAACGTTGCAGTTATTAAGAGATGCTGGTCACGAATTTGCGAAGTCTGGTGGCGTGTGGTTGTCGGACTGCAAGGCAGAGGTTCCAGCTGAGGAATAACATACAGGTAAGTCAAAACGATCACTTACTGTAGGTCAGGTACTGTATGTCGAAATGATGATCAAGCTGCTAGCATCACAAGACTTAAAGGAGAGAAAAGCTAGATTAGTGTAACGTCTAGCATCATGGTAGGAGAGTTAGTAAACTAAGGCATCAGATCAGCCTGATAACTAGGTTTGTCTGTTTGACGGTTACAGCAACGTGTGGAGAGGTGGTAGCGTAATACAGGTATAGCGCACATTAGTTACTCAAAGAAATTCTGTACTCCCCATTACTAAAAATTGTCGTTCATGATCTTATTCATAAAGTGAGACGTGCTAAGGTGAAATGTCCGAGAGCTCGACGAGACAATTCTTACGAAAGCATAACGCCACTGTCACTTCGTTTGAATAGCCGAGAAGAGAACAGCTAAAACACTTAGTCCTTTGATCCCGGAGAAGGATTATTGAACCGTTTTATGAATTGTATTACTGTATGAATGATTACATTCATAGAGCAATGTATTTAGGAGGAACTGGTTGCTTTTTTAGGCCAAGCAAATAGCTCCTCAAGAAATTGTACTCTGTATATTAAGGATTGAAATGCAGCACCTTACGCTGCATTTGGAAAACTGTGTGCTTGGTTCTGTTGACATGCCTTTTTCTGTGCTTCCTTGAAGTTGGAAATTTAGATGTTTGGTCTCAGAGATATCCAGTCGATTTCTCTGGTACGTAGCTCAAACGGTGGCCTGGTAACTAAATACAGCAGCACAATTGTATCTGGTCCTCACAAGCAGCCATTATCAACTTGACTAAAAAGCCCTAATAGTTAGCAGACCAGGCAGCTGTTGGTTGTCAACCATCGCTGTGAACAGAGTTACAGATGACCATAGGTTGTACCAATCAGCACACCTAATGAGTTTGTGACCCTGTGTCCTTGAACATAGGATGCCCCCTAGTGGTCTTTAGCACCAAAGTTCCAGAATAACATGCAGTGCTTTGATCAATTTGAGACTTGTGAAAAAACTTTGTTAGAAAAGCTGAAGTTCAGGCTTTCATTTAATTTTATGCAATTTTTAAATTTAATAAAATTTTGGGCAGCGTGGTGGGGCAGTGGTTAGCATTGCTGCCTCACAGTGCTGAGGCCCTGGGTTCAGTTCCAGACCTGGGGTGCTGTCTGCATGGAGCTTGCATGTTCTCCTCGGGTTTGCATGGATTTCCTTTGGGTGCTTCGGTTTCCTCTCACAGTATGTCTTTGAAGACATACTGGTAGGTTCATTGGCTGGGGGGGAAATTGGCCCTGGTGGGAGTGTGTCTGTGTCTATCTGGGATAGGCTGTGACCCTGAATTGGATGAAGTGGTTGGGAAACAGTGGATAAGATGAAACTTTGAACATCTTCCATAGCTGGGAGACGAGCAACTCCTCCACCTTGAACGGCTGCTCTAGAGGAGCTGAGGAGATGAACCCGAGAGGGCTGCACTCATGCAGTTCTGTCCCTTTGCCTTGCAGCAGAGAGTCTCATGGAGGGACCCACTGGTGAAAAGGGGGCACAGCTCTGTCGCCCAGTCAGGCACAGCTGCGGGATTCATCCCCAACGGGGCCACAGACCGGATCGTGGGGCGCTGGCTGCTAGCCTGCAGTGGGATGGTGGTAGGGGCTGTTGTACTCGGTGGTGTCACAAGGTGAGACGAATCTACAGGGGACGGTTTTGGGAGTTTAAAGTACTTTTAGAAAATGTAAAACTCCAGGAGAGACATTGATATAAGTTTGATTTGCATAGCATATTCCTTTTCTGGTGCTCTGCAAACACATCACTCTGACTGTCAAGTCATAAGGCATCATTCAGCGCAGATGACATAAACTAAGTGAATTACAGTAAATCCCCAATTTAACGGACTTTAGATTGAACTGAAATACTCTAGAAATCAGGCATATAGTTTATACTTTTGTCATAGTATGCAGCACAGCACAGAGAAACACTGACACAGCGCAGCCTGCTGTATGACCAGGCGTACAGATGGGACACAGACAACTTAGACAGACCTAGACCAAACTGCACTGGGCAATGAAGAAATTCAGACACTGTTGGACACATTCCTAAACACTCCGTATCAAACCAACAAATTAGGCATAAACTTGGCCACACAAAATGGAACAATCTGGCAAACATATTTTGAAAATCTCTTCTCAAAAGCTCCCAAAAACAAATTAATCAGACCAAAACACCATTTATGAAAAACTTGAAATTTTGGAATTATCTATCAAAGACAACCAAAACCCCTTAGACTCCCCAGTCACTGAGCAGGAGCTATTGGACTCCAAGCCCTCAGACCACGCAAAGCCTGTGGCCAAGATGGAGTCAACAATGAGATGCTGAGACACAGCAGCCCAAAGTTGCAACACAAGCCCTGCTCAAACTCCTCAATCTCATCATGACAGCCGGATGTTTCCCCGAGGCCTGGAACCGAGGCCTGATTATGCCCATCTATAAGAGTGGAGATAGATTTGATCCCAACAACTACTGGGGCATCTGTGTGAACAGTAACCTGAGGAAGGTATTCTGCAGTATCCTAAATACATGAATACTGGCCTTCCTTACCGAACACAATGTCCTGAGCAAGAGTCAGATTGGCTTCTAACCAGATCAGCGCACGTCTGATCACATTAACACCTTACACACACTGATAGACAAACACATCCACCAAAAACACAAAGGAATTTTTTTGTCTACTTTGTCGATTTCAAAAAAGCATTTGTCTCGAATTGGCATGAAAGATTGTTTTATAAACTACTCCAAGGTGGCATAGGGGGGCAAATTGTTTAACATAATTAAATCAGTGTATTCAGAGAGCAAATGTGCAGTGAAAATTGGAAACAATCAAATTCTTCACCCAAGGCCGTGGGGAGAGACAGCATTGCAGCCTGAGCCCAACACTGTTCAATATCTATATCAACGAATTAGCAGGAATGTTGGAACGGTCTGCAGCTCCCGGTTTCACACTACATGACACAGAAATCAAATTCCTGCTCTATGCAGATGACCTGGTCCTGCTGTCGCCCTCAGAACAGGGGCTGCTGCAGAACCTGGCACTGCTGGAGCAGTACTGTCAGACACTGACACTGGCACTGACAGTCAATCTGGACAAGACCAGAGTTATGGTTTTCCAGAAGACAGCCAGACCTCAGGGAAACAGGTACAAATTCACACTCAACAACACATTGGAGCACACATCCAGCTACACATGTCTCGGTCGCACCATCAGCTCATTTGGGAGTTTTGACCTGGCATTGGAGGCACTGAGGAAGAAGGCACTCAGGGCTTTCTACGCAATAAGAAGAGCATCAACCCACCAACAAGAATCTGGCTCCAAATATTTGAAAGTGTAATCCAACCCATTGCCCTATACGGCAGTGAAGTGTGGTGTCCCCTCAAAGACCAGGATTATACTCAATGGGACAAACACCCCACATAAACTCTGCACATGGAGATCTGTAGAAACATCCTCCGTGTGCAGAGAAAAACACCTAACAATGGATGCAGGGACGAATTAGGCCAGTAGTACCCACTATTGATAAACATACAGAAAAGAGTATTAAAGTATTGGCTACACCTAAAAACAGCAACCAAACTTCCTACCACCACAAAGCCCCTCTGAGCCAAGAGCTGAGCTGAAAACAGAGCCCCCTGAGCCAGCTGGTCCTGAGGCTCACTGACCTGACCAGATCAAACAGCAATATCTCACACGCTGAGACACACACACACAAACACAACATAAACTGGAATGCTACAGAACCCTAAACAGACAATACACACTAGCCGAATATTTTACCAAGATAAGAAACAGCAAAAAGAAACAGACCCTGACAAAGTACAGGCTCAGTGACCACAGCCTGGCCATAGAAACTGGGCGACACAGGCAGACCTGGCTGCCCAGAGAGGACAGGCTGTGCTCACACTGCCAGCGGGGAGAAATAGAGACAGAGGTGCACTTCCTACTGCATTGTGACAGATACTCTGGGATTAGAGAACCATTCTTCCCTAAATTCAGAAATCTAATCCCAGAGTTCCCACACCTGCCAGAATCCCTCATTACTGGGAGAGGGAGATGGTAACTCAATTGAGCTGGCAGCCCAGTATGTGATCTCCTGTCACAGCCTGAGGAATAGTAAGTTTTTCCCCAAATAATGCTCCATCTGTCTGAAGTCTATGTAAATTTTATGATATGTCTTTGTTGTAAATGTCTGTAGACTTTATTTTACTTTTATTTTTTGTTTTGTTTCGTGTTAATTTTATTATTTTTATTTGCTTTGGCAACACTGATTGTACCCATTGGTCATGCTAATAAAACACCTTGAATTGAATTGAATAGAGAGACTTGGAAGGTTAAGTGTCCAATTCTGGGGATAATAGATCTATAATATCCAAACCTGGTTATACATAAACTTTTGGAAGGTGATTTGGAGTGAACGGTCTTCTGGCCCATGCAGAGCCCTAGAGAACTGTAGACATCTGACTGCAGGGCCACTTCAGTGCTCATTTAGCATTTCGCTTTGGCAGGTTACTGAGAGTCACATCAACAGAGTTGGAGAGTGGGGAGGACTTGGCAACTGGGAATATTAGCTGGATTTTAAATTTCTTTTGGGTGGAAAGTGCTTCAAAGAATGCCTTGTCAGGCAGTGCTCATGTTCGGGATTGTCTTTCGCACCCAGTGTGCTGGTAAAAGCAGTCGGTGTAGCTGTGTGAAGGTCACTGGTTGTTGGTGTTTATGCACCCCAGGCTGACGGAGTCTGGCCTCTCCATGGTGGACTGGCACCTGATCAAAGAGATGAAGCCCCCAGGCAGCCAGGGCGAGTGGGAGGCGGAGTTCCAGAAGTACCAGCAGTTCCCCGAGTTCAAATTGTGAGTTCGAATCCCACTGCTTGTAAGTGAGACTAGCCTCAGTCTGAGGCCACCATCTGTGAAATTTACCTGCTTGTCAAAAATGGATGGGGAGTGGGATGGCTGAAGCATGCTGGTGTTTGACCTAGACGCATGTGACCCTGCAGTGATCGATCAGACTGGCTGCGCATGAATATTTTAAACAACCTTTGTGTGTCTCTCCTAAAACAGTCCATTTAACTTAATCCCTTGTTAATCATCAGCAGTGTTTCCAAATGTATGGCAGCAGTGATCTCATAGCTCCTTACTTCAGACAGCATGAACATTCCTCACCTTTCTGTAAATCAGCAGAGCTCAAGCATGTCAAAGAGTATTAAAACATAAATGTAGTACATTTTACATTCAAAATGTCTCAAGTCCTTTTTTTGCAGAAAATCCTTTTTTGAGCACAGGACTCAAGTTTGATATTGGAAGTGTGCCGATCTCCTTCAATGCCAGATGAATGATCCAGTCCCCCCCCCCCCATCTTCATTTATTTTGTAATATCATACTGTGACCAAGCTGCCTGTGCTGTTTTGTGTAATTAAGTTCACAGGGATGAATAGTTCCATTTGCTGAAACACAAGAGTCATTTGCAGTAAAATTGGATTAGACTATTCCGTCGTTGTGAAACTGCCAGTTTATGGGGGGAGAACAACAGGCTATGGAGTAAACTTCGAGAAATGAGTGTCTCTGTGTCTTTGTGTAGCTTGAACCATGACATGACTCTGCCAGAGTTCAAGTTCATCTGGTTCATGGAGTACTCCCACCGGATGTGGGGTAGGCTGGTGGGGCTGGCCTACATCCTTCCTGCTGTCTACTTCTGGAGACGGGGCTATCTCAACCGAACTATGAAGGGCCGTGTCCTGGGGCTCTGCGGCTTTGTCTGCTTCCAGGTCAGAGGGCATGGGACAAGTTCTTTTCATGCCGTTGAAAAAGTCAATTAAGTCATTCTAAACACCGAGAGACAGTTGAGATTTTTGAATTAAAATACTGCAACAGTTCAGGAATTCATATTTTTTTGTTATATTTAGTTGTCTGTCCACAGACTCCAATTATCATTAATGCTATGCTACTTGTGTGAGTATTTTTATAGTCACAGGCAGTTCATAATGATCACCATTCTCTTTTTCCTTTATCGTGATAATGTTGTATGTTGTTGATAGGCTGAATAAACTGAAACTCCTTAAATGAGACTGTAAAAATTAAATTCCTAGGATGAAGATCAATATCACTGAGTTGTGATGCTACGCTAAGTGAAGTAGGACAAGTGAATCACATGGGAATCAGTTTATGTCATTGGAAACTACGATTTATGACAAATGTTTGTGTGTAGGAAAACGGACATTTATAATCACGTTTTAAGGGGTAGTGTCTATAACATCTACTGTAAGCTCTGTCGTCTGTGCTGGCAGGGCCTGCTGGGCTGGTACATGGTGAAGAGTGGCCTGGAGGAGAAGCCAGAGTCCTATGATGTCCCTCGGGTTAGCCAGTACAGGCTGGCTGCCCACCTGGGCTCTGCACTGGTGCTCTACTGCGCCAGCTTGTGGACCGGCCTGACTCTGATGCTGCCTCCACACACGGTAAAGCGAATCGTGTGCCCTGCAGGAGGATTTGCCTTTTTTATTTTTTTTAATTGACCATTACTTTGTTTTTATGTCTTGCCCAATGTGGGTCCTTGCTACAACGTTTTTGTGCCAGTAACAAGATAACATACTTTATGTGCTCGCTCTGAAATTATCATCTGCACCATCCAGTGTAACTCACACTGCAAGCACAGAGCACACTCAGTAGATCATAACGTGTAGGACTCATGCAGCTCTCACGTATAGTGCTGCTTACTGTTATGCAGGACCTTTCAAGAGGTGGGCCTCACCTCAGCCAAGGATGCATGGTCCTCCACTTTAACCCTTTGGTTGCGTTTCTCGACCGCACACAAATTTGGAACTTTTACCATATACTGTGTTTCTTGACTAAATTCCACAGCTGTGAAAAAACATCCCTCTTTCGGTGCTAAATCCTATTCTTTAGGAGTTTCAAAATGTTCGCCTTAATCCTCCCACGCTTTTCTCCGCAAGCTATTGGGTGTCATACACATACAATTATGTAATCATTATGGGTTTTTTATTTGTATAGTTATAGTTTTTACCAAGCTGACCCTCCAGTCCATTAAGATGACCTGCTTTTTGAATTACTTCCCTCTTGTGTTACAGCTGCCTGCGACGCGTCAGTTAACCCTGCTCAGGAGATTTGCCCGGGGCACAGGCGGCCTAGTCTTCCTCACAGCTCTGTCAGGTAACCCTTCTCAGCCTGTGGTGCCCTTCTGAGCAGTCACAGTGCAGACGCCCGCCCTACTAAGACAAGCAGTCTTGACATTTTATCCTTATGTGTCCGACAGCTTCAAGCACCTTCATTTTTTCTTTTGTAGTTGACATAGTCTAGGATAGACTACCATACTTATTGAGAATTAATGTGGACAATTCACTGATTTAATGAACAGAGAAATGAGAGGGCCCTTGCCCGTCTTCCTGCTGGACAAGGTTACAGCTCTAACAGATATTCTCTTTTTATTTCTGGTTTGTAATATGTGTTATAAATTAGGAAAGAAGAGCTTTTGGTGCACAGAAGAATGTGTCGTACATTATTAAGCATCCATCTGTTATTAGATAGATAGATACTTTATTGATCCCGTGAGGGAAATTGCAGTGCAACAGCAGCTTTACACACACAACACAGTCACAGTGTAATGAATTATATAATAATAGTACAATACAATACAAGAGTTACTCACAGTCCGGACACACAAGAGGAAACTAGAACAGAACAGTACACAGAAAATCGTATCACACGTATGAATATAAAT